GATGTGAATATCTTTGAGGGTCCATTACTCTTCCAACAGAGGGGATAAAGGAATAAATATTAACTCTTTCCAAGCCCGTCCATGCTCTCTGAATGTCCCAGCCTCCACTGTTGAGGAAGGTCTTGCTGTCCATGGGTAGTTCCTTGTCCAGGGCCATCTGGTTGCACATCCTGCCTGCTGCAGCCTCACAGATGGGTTGGGGGCAGTGACACTGTGCAATGATGCTGTGTGCAACTTCGGGACTCATCACTGCCCTTCTGTAGCTTTCCCACATTGGGCCTTCTCCAGCTCCTGTCCTTGGGCATCCTCCAAAGAAGGGAAGGGGGTTCCTTTCCTTGAACTGCCTTCTGTGTAAGGGAAACTAAACACGAAGTCATACTGGTACTCTATGTCCACAGAGGACTCTAGTCAAATCTGTGTCTCATGGAAGGAAGCACGAAATCAAATATATGTGGTAATACTAAAAACCACTGAACTGTACAATTTAAAATTAATTTTTGGGGGGGCCACACCACATGGCTTAGTTCGCCGACCAGGGATCAAACCCGGGCCTCCAGCAGTGAAAGCGCTGAGTCCTAACCACTGGACCGCCAGGGAATTCCTGAAAATTTTATAGTGTGTGAACTGCAAATCAGTTTTAAAAAATAGTGTTACTGGGAGTTCCCTGGCGGTCCAGTGGTTAGGACTTGGCAGTTTCACTGCCAGGGGCCCAGGTTCAATCCTTGGTCAGGGAACTAAGATCCTGCAGGCCACGTGGCACGGCCAAAAAAAAGAAAAAATAGTGTTACCAAAAGGTCTGTGGCAGGATTACTCATCCCTTCATTAATTCATTGATTTGCTAATATACTCACTGATTCTGCATATGTTTGTTGAGTGTTTACTAAATGTGAGTGCCAACTCCATCAGTGCATGCTCTCTCTGGTAACCATCTTTTTGATGCCAACTCAGCTCATCAACTGCCTTCCCTGAGAATCGCCTTTTCCCAATCCACCTACACAGCTGGAGCCCTGGTGCCCTGCAAGCCATGTTTATCTGACTTGACTCTAACCCCTTAACCCCAGCTGACTGGACTCAAGCTGGGCCAGTCAGATTTCTCTCCCATGAAACTGGGAGTTAGTTTTGGCCCTCTTCTCTCCACACGTACCATACCATCCCTCAAAGCTACCACCCTTCCCCGTGGCTTCATCTATTATAATGACTCCCACACCTATATCACCAGACCAGCCCTCTGGAGCTCCACAGGTGTCCATCCAACCGGCCCCTGGGCAGCTCCACTTGGATGTCCCACAGGCACATCAAACTCTATCCGATCCTTCATTTCACTCACATCAGGGGCTGCTTTCTATTCTCTTTTCCAGACAGGAGCTAACATCCCAATCAAAGCCTCTAGGTCCTGAGGCAGGGACTGTGTCCTGGATTTCTTTGTGTCTTCCACAGCATCCGGCACAAAAACTCACACTTGGTAGACACTGGCTAGTTAGCGGGTTGAGTTTGGGCTGCTTTACTCAAATCAATTATAGGTTCATTTTAGCAAAGGCTGCAAGCAGATATTGTCAGAGTAGAATTGCTTTGGTGATTGGCAGTGTAAGGTTTTAGATTTTTTTAGCTAAGTCAATATACTAAAAATAACTCCCAGAGTTCCCAATTGCTTTTGGACACGATGTGATTTATCAAAATTCCCAGCCCAAGGAGGAGAGAGGAAGAACAAAGTCCTTGCCTCCAGTGTTTGGGAAAGTCATAGGCACCCAATGGCTTAAAGCCACATTTATCTGTGGAGTTCTGGGGCTGAGTGCATTGCCATTGTCTGCTTTTACCATGACAGAGAAAAAAGAGTTAGCATTACTGAGCCCTTGCTGCGTGCTGGTTACTTAACCTATGTCTACATCGCTGTTATGGGCTAAGTTGTGTGCCCTCAAAATTCCTATGCTGAAGTCCTTATGCCCAGTACCTTAAAATGAGACTGTATTTGGAGATAGGGTCTTTAAAGAGGTAGTTAAGCTAAAATGAGGTCATATGGGTGAGCCCTAATCCAATATAACTGGCGTCCTTATAAGAAGAGATTAGGACAGAGACACACACTGAGGAAAGGCCATGTGAAGACATAGGAGGAAGATGGCCATCAATAAGCCAAGGAGAGAGCCCTTAAAAGCAATCAATCCTACAGAAAATTTGATCTCAGACTTCTAGCCTCCAGAATTATGAGAAAATAAATTTGTTGTTTAAGCCACCCAGTTTAGGGCTTCCCTGGTGGCGCAGTGGTTGAGAGTCCGCCTGCCGATGCAGGGGACACGGGTTCGTGCCCCGGTCCGGGAAGATCCCGCATGCCGCGGAGCGGCTGGGCCCGTGAGACATGGCCGCTGAGCCTGCGCGTCCGGAGCCTCTGCTCCGCAACGGGAGAGGCCACAACAGTGAGAGGCCCACGTACTGCAAAAAAATAAAAAGCCACCCAGTTTGTGCTACTTTGTTATGTCAGCCCAAGCAAGTTAATACAGTCCCATTTAATCCTCCTATCAATCTAAAAAATAAATTATTAGCTCCATTTTATAGATAAGGAAACTGAGGCAAGGAGAAGTGAAATGACTTCCCCATCTTCCAGCCCACAAGTGACAGGGTGGGATGGGAGCCTAGGTTTACCCAACATAGAGACCCCATGGTAACCAATGTCCTTCATTCTCAGGGCTCTGGGCCACTCAGAGATCTGACAAAACTGTGGTGTGCTCCCACTGACCTTTCCTCTCTCCTTGACCTTTGAGGGTTCCCTTGATGTCTCCCTCTCTCTGAGCACCCCACCCTAACCTCAGGCATTGTCAGTGACTTCCTGGCACAACTAGCTCCTTGGTCTCATTCAAGACACTCAGAAATCTTTGAGTGCCCTTGTGTAGATGCTCTTTCTTGAAGCCCTAACATTTTAGGGTCTGTCTCACCCCAATATCATGAACTAGAGTTAGTGGAGGTGGGGGCGGGGTCTCTCCACTACTGTCCTCATCTAGAAAGCTAGCCAGAGGGCAGGACAATTGTCCAAGCAGAGCACTGCACCAGTCCGACCTCAGGGTGGTTCCCATGCAGCATTTTACTTAATCCTCACAACAAACCTGAGTTAGGCATTACTATCATCTTCATTTTACAGATGAGAAAACAGAGGCACCAAGCAATTAAGAAACTTGCCCAATACCACATAGTGACACTTGACCTTCCTAGGAGTCAGGGAAGGCCTCCTTGAGAAAGCACATTTGAGCTGAGAGAGGACTAGAAAATGGAAGAACAGCACGTGCAAAGATCCAATGGCAGGGGCTTCCCTGGTGGCGTAGTGGTTGAGAGTCCGCCTGACAATGCAGGAGACAGGGGTTCGTGCCCCGGTCCAGGAAGATCCCACATGCCGTGCCATGGCTGCGGAGCCTGCGCGTCTGGAACCTGTGCTCTGCAACGGGAGAGGCCACAACAGTGAGAGGCCTGCGTACCGCAAAAAAAAAAAAAAAAAGATCCAATGGCAGGATGCAGCCTTTGCGTTTGAGGCGCTAAGGGAAGATCATGTGGCTGAAGCCCAGAGTAAGAGGAGAGAAGGGTAAGATGAGGCAGGGGCTATGCTAGGCAGGGCCTCGGAGGCCTCGCTGAAGGTTTGGGTCTATGTCATAAGAGCAACAGGAAGCCATCAGGTTTTAACCAGGGAGATGACGGAATCAGATTTGCAGTTTGAAAAAACTCTTTCTGAGGACAGTGTAGATAAAAGATTACAGGGAGAGTGTAGGGAGAGCATTAGGGTCCATGGCAGTAATCCAGGTAACATGGATTAGGACAATAGCAGTGGAGGCAGGAGTGTAGATGGAGGGACTTCCCTGGTGGTCCAGTGGTTAGGACTCTGTGCTTCCACTGCAGGGGGCACGGGTTCAATCCCCTGTTGGGGATCTAAGATCCTGCATGCCACATGGCACGGTCAAAAAAATAAAAGAAAAGAAAAAGGAATGGAGAGGGAAATAAATAAATGCTTTTAAGAGCCCTTTAAGAGGGAAAGTGACAGCATTTGGTGATAGATTGGACACAGGGTGAGGCAGAAGTTGAGGTCCCACGTTTCTGGCTGGTACAACTAGCTGGTCAGTACATAGTTCATTCAGACAGGGAACACTGGACAAAGAAAAGGTGTGGGAGAAACTGTGTGTTCAGCCTTAGGTATGCTGAATTTGAGGTAAGACACTCAAGTGGAACTATCCAATAAGCAGTGGGGTATGCAGGTTTGAAGGTCAAAAGGGAGGTATGGCCTGGACATGACTATTTGGGAGTCGTATCCAGGACCAGTCTATCTACTAGGCAGGGGTAGGCCTATTAGTGCCCCAATACTCTTAGGGCTCCTCAAAAAAAAAAAAAAAAAGCTTTAATCTCCTTTAAATCAGAAAAAAAGTTTATTTTATTTTACTTTTTTAAAGACACTTCTATTTCTTTTTTTTTTTTTTTTGGCTGCCTTGGGTCTTCGTTGCTGCGTGCAGGCTTTCTCTAGTTGCGGCAAGTGGCGGCTACTCTTCGTTGTGGTGTGCAGTCTTCTCACTGCGGTGGCTGCCCTTGTTGCAGAGCACAGGCTCTGGGTGCGTGGGCTTCAGTAGTTGTGGCACGTGGGCTCAGTAGTTGTGGCTCGAGGGCTCTAGAGCACTGGCTCAGTAGTAGTGGCGCATGGGCTTAGTTGCTTCGCGGCATGTGGGATCTTCCTAGGCCAGGGCTTGAACCCGTGTCCCCTGCATTGGCAAGCAGATTGCCAACCACTGCACCACCAGGGAAGTCCCAGAAAAAAGTTTTAATAAAGATGTTTTAATAGATAATATTAATATATTCATCTTTACACCAATGCAGTCATAAAACATAATTAAAAAAGAAATTGTTTGGGCTTCCCTGGTGGCGCAGTGGTTGAGAGTCCGCCTGCCGATGCCGGGGACATGGGTTCGTGCCCCGGTCCAGGAAGATCCCACACGCCGCGGAGCGGCTGGGCCCGTGAGCCATGGCCACTGAGCCTGCGCGTCTGGAGCCTGTGCTCCACAACGGGAGAGGCCACAACAGTGAGAGGCCTGCAAACTGAAAAAAAAAAAAAAAAAAAAAGAAATTGTTCTGTAGGAAGGGGCCCACAAAAGTCGTAATGCTGCCCTGGTTATATTAGTAAGGATGCTTTCTACCACAAAATATCAGAAAGCCCACTCTCAATAGCTTCAGCAGTGACAATATTTAATTTCCCTTGTTCAGCATTAGGGTGGCCTCCAGGGATGGCAGGGCACTCATGCCCTCAAGGACAAAGACTTCTTCCAGCTCTCCACTCTGCCATCCCTGCTGTTGGCTCCATTCTCAGCTTGGGAGCACACCAGGTTCAGTAGGTCCAGGACATATCTAGACTTGACAACATTCCCAGGAAGAGAGCCACTGGGAATGTCGCTTCCAGTGATTCTCTCCTAGGAGTGAAAAAACCTTTCCCAGAAGCCCCCCAGCAAGTGTCCTCTTAGTCTCACTGGGTATAACCCCATTCCTAAACCAGTTACTGTCAAGAAGGAAGGAATTTATACGATGGGCTCAGACTGGGGTGCTCATCTGGGGTGCGTCAGAGGTTAGGGAGTCTTCTAGACTCTCTTCTCTAGAAGTCTTCCTCCAGGAGGTGGGACCTGAAGCCAAAAGCAAGGATGAGCTCACCCAGGGAAGAGTGTTCAGAAAGAGAAGCACAGAGGACGTGGGAGCTTCAGCATTTCCATCTACTGAGGGCTAAAGGAGCAAAGGTTGAATCAGTTCCTGCTACAGAGGGGCTTCCTGTCTGATGGAAGAGACACATCATTAAACACAGTTGCAAATGGTCTGGAATGTGAGAGCAGACTGGGTTGGAGGCCCAGCTGTGTGTTAATACGTATGTGACTGGGTAGGTTTCTTAAGCTTTCTGCCTCAGTTTCCTTTTTGTATAGTACCGTACACATAGTAGATATCAAATAAATGCAGCCATCATTGTTTTATTATCATCCACATTATTATATATAGGCAGCAGGAAGCCACTGGAAGGGAATTAACAGGCAGATTTGTGTCTAGGTTAGATGGCTTAGGCAGGTTGTGCTCTGTCCCTGCTCTGGGTTTCCTCTTCACTAGGTCACTGTGAGCAACTCACTGAGTTTCCCTCTGGCTGCCCCCAAGGCTGAATGCCACCAGAACCCTCCAGGCCCCAGCAGCATCTCCATAAAATCTGTGTGTTGGTTTTAGCTGCACTCCTGTGCTTTGGAATTAGGATAAATTACTATCCCTCCTTTCACTCCTGTCTGATTACATTGTTGCCACTCAAAGAAATTAATCAGGTTTATTAAGCATGACCTCTCTTTTGTAAGCCCTGCTCCCAGTCAGCCGATATGTAGTACCTGTCTGCTGCTCTCCTCCTAGTTCAGTTCCAGTTGGAGAGGCCTCAACCCTTCTCAGTGCTCCAGTGGGGGCACCGACAGGCGGCCGAGTGGCCACATCTTTTGTTATTTGCAGAGACTGATGTTCTGGGCTGGATTGGACAAAGACAGGATGCTCTGCTGTAGTGAGCACAAGGCCCTTTGTTGCCATGGCTGTGGAAGAAATAGGAACAAAAGGGATAAACGTTGCATCCAAATATGCTAATAATTAACACTTAACACCATGGATATAAAAAGCATTTAATACTACATTACTATGATCATAATAGCTATTCTTTATTCAGCCCTACTCCATATGGCATCATGGCTTGGTAGTTAAGTACATGTGAACTGGAGCCTGACTGCCTGGGTCCAAATCCTGGCTCTGCTATTTACCAGTGTGGGCAAGTTACTCACGCTCTTTGAGTCTCAGTTTTGTATCTATAAAGCATGGACAATGGAAGTACACAACTCATAGGGTTATGTGAGTTCATATTATGCTTATAAAGCACTTAAACATGACATACCACATAATAAGCACTCAATAAATATTATATTTTTATATACATTGGTCAGCAAATTTAGACCTCAAAACAAACATATGATGTAGACATTATCATTATTATTATTATCCCTATTTATCAACTGAGGAAATCAAGACTCAGAGAGGTTGAGTAACTTTCCCAAGGTTACCCAGCAAGAAAGTAACAGAATCCAATTCTGACTGACCCTAAAGTCTTGTGCTTTCCACTGCACCAGGTCACTGTCTTCCATGAGCTCCTGGCAAGAGGTCCCACATCAATGTGATGGTACAGTATTGGTAACTTTCACAAATTCCTCTTCCCTTTCATCACAGTTGGAACTAGGTATTTTCAGAATGAAGGAAAGAGGAATCCTGTGGACAAGGCAGCTTAAGCAAGGTTTCTCTTCTCTCTGCCCCTGCTTTACGCCCAGATCCTCAGCCTTCCCTAGAGTGTACAAGGCCCAGTTCTCTAGTGGAAGCTGGAAAGCCAGCTAGGGAAGAGCAGAGACATGGCCCAACTCTGGGTAAGACTTGCTTAGGTACCACCCATCTGATGGCTTGGCTGGCAGAGTAGAGCCACAGGGAAGAACCTGGCCATGGGGTGCCAGGCCACACCAGTGCCAGGGGCTGGCAGGTTTGAGGCCAAGATGATCCAGGACAGATCTTGCACCCTAAAAATCTTTGGACATCACCAATAAAATAAAGTAAAACAGCACAGCCCAAAGCACCTTCCTGCCGGAGAACTTAAAATTCTTGAAGGATGCCTGCATTTTGTCTTTTAATGTAAAGGAATCCCAGAGTCTGGCTTATCACACCTCCTGTGGAGCGGATATCTGGCTGCCAGACCAATAAGTGTTCATCAGGGCTCTGACCACTGCACAGCCTAGTCAGGCCTCTGCCCATTCTTCCACACAACCAAAGTCAGGCCTCTGCTCATGCTTCTACACAACCAACTCTTGTTTTGTATTCAAAAGCAGTTCAATTCCTAAACAACCATCTGGGCAAAAATAAAACTCAGCCTTACAAATATTTCTAGGAAAGAGGGGCAGTTGGCTATCTCATTAATTGCAACACTCACTGAGCCTAAACTCTGGGCAAGGCACTGTACTTACCATGACCCTTGTCACATCCCCACCCATCCCCCCACCCCTCACTTATCTCTTGAGTTTATGGCTAGCTCCTGATGGCCCCTCCCCTGTGCCTCTCTCATGTCCAGATGTCCATTTGCAATCAGATAAGGCCTGGTTGGGTTCATCCTGGACTCTGGGAAACATAGCCTTGGCTTCTTGACGAATATACAGCCTGGTGTCAGGATGACAGCCTGTGAAGGGGCCTCCCTGGAGCCCCCAGGCTATGCCCACACCTAGTTCAAGACAGCAGAGACTTCTCTGATGTGGACAGGCAAGCTGTCAATGCTATGTGGATCCCCTACCCCCCACTCAGGCCCTGATCACAGACCCTCTTCCTCAACCCTTTCCACCCACACCTGCCTCTTGCCTCCTACTCACACTCCTGGGGCTCTCAAATAGTGACTAGAGAAGGAAGGAAATGGCCAGGCTAAAGATTCAGTGAAAATAGCTGAAGCTTTGTACTCGGACAGATAAGGGTTTGAATTTCACCATGTTACTTAACAGCTGCGTGACTTGGTCTGGTTACTTGAGTCTGGTCTCGAGTCTCAGTTTTCTAGTCTCTGAAAGGAAAACAATCTTCTGTACTCTTAGGGTTTCTGTGAGGATTAGAAAAGATATGTATAAGTATGTTATGCCCAGCAGCACTGAATAAATGGTAGACATTGTCAGACATAAGTTGGTCTCTTTATATTCCTTTAAAGTATATATACTTTCCCTAAATTCTTACAACCACCAGGCTACAGGGTCAGCCCACCAGTGGTGTTGCTGCAAGGAGCTTGGCTGGGTTGGAGCCAGCTCTGCTGCTGGGCCTAGACCTTAGTCTAGTGCATTGGTGGGGGTTTCAACCCCTCTGTCCATGGTTCAGTGACCAATCCTCCTGATTTGCCTGGGATTGTCCCAGGTTTACGACTAAAATTTCCACATCCTGGGAGCACAGGCAGTTCAGTCTTGGGAAAACTGGTATGATCAGTCACCCTATCAAGCCAGCTGACCCACAGCAGATGGAGAACGTGTCAGACCCAGGAAGTAGCTGGGCTTCCCATAACCTTTCCCAGTTTGCTGGATGGATGGGGCCAGGCTGGGCATCAAATCTGCCCTTCCTTCTGGGTTCCCAGCCAAGACCTGGTTAAGTTGAGGCCAAGGGTGACACCCAGAGGTCATGTGAAAAACTGCAGTCTGGTAATCACCCACCAGGCCTTGAGGCCTTCGCTTGTTCATTAGTAAATATTTATTGAGCTCTCAACATGTACCAACCCTTGTGTTAGGCACTGGGCATAAGTCTCAGGGTCTTGGAAGGCATCCTCAAACAAGTTAAATTTATGCTGAGACCTACTTATTGAGAAGGTGTTTGCCAGGTCAAGGCAGGAGGGAAAGAGAGAGTATTCCAGGCAGGAAGGAACAGCAAAGACAAAAACTCTGAGTGGGAAGGAGCATAAAACACTCAAGAAACTAATTACAGTATGAAGGAGGGGGTTGGTAGTGACAACAGTTAGGCTGCCAAGGCCTAATCAGCCAGGGGAGATTTATTTGTCTTTACCCTAAGTGCAATCAGAACTTAGTAAAGGGTTTTAAGCAGGACTGTAACATAATCAGACCTGCATTTTTCAAAGCTCACTCTGGCTACAGGGTGGAGACTGGTTTGGAGAGTAGTAAGTCTAAAGCCAGGGAGGCAATTAGAAGGTCATTGCAGTGTCCAGGTGGTACACAGTGAGGACCTGGACTTGGGTAGTGTGGGGAGATGATGAGAGACGTGATAGTTTGAGAGGCATTATGGAGATAGAATGGGCAGGGACATGGTGATTGACTGGAGGTGAAGGTTGAGGGACAGTGAGGTTCAAAAATGACTTGCAGGTTTCTGGCTAGGACCACTGGACAGCAGTGGAACAGCTGCTGAGAAGGGAGCACCAGAGGAGGAGGATGTTGGGCATGTTGAATCTGAGGTGCCTGTGGGACATGCGTGCACATCAAGATGGCAAATAAGCAGGTGGATAAAGATTAGGAAGAAGGAAATAATGTGGGGGTCATCTGCATGCAGATGGTAACTGAAGCCCTAAGCAGCACCAACATTCACAAGTGGGCAGAGGAAGACCAGGCAAGTACGGTATTATAAAAGCCAGGGCAAGAGTGTTTCAGAAAGGAGAGAGCGGTCAACCTCTCCTTAGATCCTTTTAAAGTGAAGTGGTGGAGAGAAGCCAAGTTAGAGTGAGTTGTGCTGTAAGTAGGAGGTGAAGAGGTGGAGAAAGCAACTGTTGACAACTCTTTCAATAAATGTGGCTAAACTATCAAAGTTATCAGTGCGAGTGTAATTAGGTACAACTTTTTTGAATGGCAATTAGGCAGAATTTATGAAAATTAAAAATACACACAGCCTTTACCCCAACAATTCTACTTCCAAGAAGTTAGCCTACAAATGTACTTCACCCATGCACAAAGACTTAGAGGATATTTACTGTGGCATTTTATAAATAGCTAAAGTGAAATACAATTTGCATACTCAACAGGGGGCTGGTTAAATTAGCTATAAAACAGCCACACAACAGGATATTATATATCTGTTAAAAAGAACATGCTGGGGGTGGTGTTGGTGGGATGAATTGGGAGATTGGGATTGACATATATACATTAATGCATAAAATAGATAACTAATAAGAACCTGCTGTATAAAAAAATAAATTTAAAAAAATAACATGCTAGATTTATATGTATTGAAATGGATGCATCAAGACTGGATGCATCAGGACTTCCCTGGTGGTGCGGTGGCCAAAGCAGGGGACACGGGTTCATGCCCTGGTCCAGGAAGATCCCACATGCCGTGGAGCAACTAAGCCCGTGTGCCACAACTACTGAGCCTGCGCTCTAGAGCCCGTGAGCCACAACTACTAAGCCCATGTGCCACAACTACTGAAGCCCACGCGCCTAGAGCCCATGCTCTGCAACAAGACAGGAAACCGCATTGAGAGGCCCACGCACCACAATGAAGAGTGGTCCCTGCTCGCCACAGCTAGAGGGGGCCCACGTGCAGCAACGAAGACCCAATGCAGCCAAAAAAATAAATAAATAAAAAATAAATTAATTTAAAAAAAAAGACTGGATGCATCAAGGAAAAAGGACAGCCATATATGCTTGTATAAATGCATAGAAAATGCTTAAAAAGGATACACAAGAAACTCTTCACAGTGGTTATTTCTGCAGGGTAGTCAGCGAAGGAGAATTTTACTTTTGATTTTATGTTTTTTCATGTTTGGATTTTTAAAATTATTTATTTATTTATTTGGCTGCGCTGGGTCTTAGTTGCAGCACACAGGATCTTCATTGCGGCATGTGGGGTTTTTAGTTGAGACATGTGGGATCTCGTTCCCTGACCAGGGATCAAACCCAGGCCCCCTGCATTGGGAACGTGGAGTCTTAGCCACTGGACCACCAGAGAAGTCCCTATATGTTTGGATATTTATTGCAAGCATGTACAGTGAAATTTTACATAATTTATGTCTTTAAAAACTAATTTTCAATGGGCAGAAGACCTAAATAGACATTTCTCCAAAGAAGACATACAGACGGTCAATAGGCACATGAAAAGACACTCAACATCACTAATTATTAGATAAATGCAAATCAAAATGACAATGAGGTACCACCTCACAATGGTCAAAAATCAAATCATCAAAAAGGCTACAAACAATAAATGCTGGAGAGGGTGTGGGGAAGAGGGAACCCTCCTACACTGTTGGTGGGAATGTAAATTGGTGCAGCCTCTATGGAAAACAGTATGGAGGTTCCTTAAAAAACTAAAAATAGAGCTACCGTATGATCCAGCAGTCCCACTCCTGGGCATATATCCAGAAAAGATGAAAACTCTAATTCAAAAAGATACATGCAGGGAACTCCCTGGCAGTCCAGTGGTTAAGAAAGCACTTTCACTGCCGTGGGCCTGGCTTCAATCCCTGGCTGGGGAACTAAGATCCCACAAGCGGAGAGGTGCCAGCGGTGGGCGGGGAGCTAAGAGAATAAATGCACTATAATGGTTAAGAGACTAAAAACTAAGCCAGATTTGAAATTCCATCCTCTCCATTTACCAGCTGTCTGCCTTGTACAAATTATTTAACTCTTCTTTGCCTCAGTCTCCCCAACTACAAAGTGGACATGATTATAGTATTTTTGTTTAATGAGTTAATGTGTGTTAAGCATAGAAGCCTTTGTTCTTATTACAAATAGCCATTATCCATAATTAAATTAAAAGTAGGGGCAATGCCAAGTGTGTATGTGTGTTCTTAGCAGATAGCAAAGTTCCCCATACGTAGTATGAGTAAAACAAATATTTATTAAATAAATGAAACACTAGAAAGAAAAAAGTACTCGGAAAATCATTTTTTGTTCTCACTTTTTTTTACTTTGTATATGTTAGTTCCATGAAATAAAATGTTAAATTAAAAAAAACGTGGTATATGGGACTTCCCTGGTGGCACAGTGGATAAGACTCCGCACTCCCACTGCAGGGGCCCGGGTTTGATCCCTGGTCAGAGAACTAGATCTCACATGCATGCCGCAACTAAGGAGCCCGCCTGCTGCAACGAAGGAGCCCGCCTGCCGCAACTAAGACCCGGTGTAACCAAATAAATAAATATCTTTTTTTTAAAATGTGGTATGTATATATATATATATATATACAATGGAATATTAGCCTCAAAAATAATGAAATATTGCCATTTGCAGCAACATGGGTGGACCTAGAGAATATCACACTAAGTGAAGTTAGAGAAGGACAAATATATATCACTTATATGTGGAATCTAAAATATAACACAAATGAATATATATATACAAAACAGAAACAGACTCACAGACATAGAAGACAAACTTATAGTTATCAAAGGGGAAAGGGACGGGGGTCGGGAGGAGAATAAGTCAGGAGTGTGGGATTAACAGATACAAACTACTATACATAAAATAAATAAGCAACAAGAATTTACTGTATAGCACAGGGAACTATATTCAATATCTTGTAGCAACCTATGAAGGAAAATAATCTGAAAAATATATATATATATATCACTGAATCACTTTGCTGTACACATGAAACTAGCACAATATTGTAAATCAACTATACTTTAATTTTTAAAAATCCTTATTTTTATAAGTTTGGCTGTGAAGGGTAGGAGAGTTATACAAAAATAGTTGTAGAAGTAAGCAGGATAGAGGGAGGGCTTTTTGGTTTGTTTTTTTTTAAGATGAAAGAGACCTGATGATCTCTCTTAAAAGGGACAGAATGAAGATATATAGGAGAGAGAGGAAAATCAGTAAAGCAAGCTCACTGATGATGTGAGTGTTGGTGAGACCCAGAGCCCTGGTTAGTCTAACCCAGGTGGCACTCTTACTTCACAGTGACAGGGGAGGAGAGGGTGGTATCAGCAGGTCTTCAGAGCGCCTGTAGAGGCCCTGCCCTATGGAAATGAAAATACATCTCTTCCCCAGGAAGCTCCCAATCTAGGGGTTTAATGAGCTGACCCTTGAACAACGTGGTGGGGGGTGGTAGGGTTAGGGGGCCAACCCCTGTGCAGTTGGAAATCCCTGTAAAATCTGCATATAACTTTAGAGTCGGCTCTCCACACCTGCAGTTCCGCATCCTCGGATTCAACGCACCACGAATGATGTACTACTGTAGTATGTATTTACTGAAAAAAAAACCTGCATATGAGTGGACCCGCATGTAAGTTCAAACCCGTGTTATTCAAGGGTCAACTGGGACTTCCCTGGCAGTCCAGTGGTTAAGACTCCACACTCCCACTGCAGGGGATGCGGGTTCGATCCCTGGTCAGGGGAACTAATAAACTGCATGCTGCACAGTGCGGCCAAAAACTTTTTTTAAAAAAAGGGCCAACTGTACTAATAATTGCCAATCAACTACACTTGCTCTCACCTCCACACCTTTGTATAAGCCATGTCCTCTACCTGGAATACTTCACTCCCAACCTCCGACACATAAAGGTACCCCTCACCTTGTCAATTCCTACTCAAACTTCTGGTCTCAGCTTCTCCTGGGAAGCCTTCCCTAGTCCTCCAGACAATGTTAGAAGCAACAGCCTCTTCACTGGCCTCCCCATTCTGCCCTTGCTACCCTCCATCCTATTATCAACTCAGCAGCCAGGGAGGTTCAATAGAAATGTGGAGTCTGATCCGGTCACCCTTCAGCTTAAAGGTGACCTCCAGTGGCTTCCTATCTTGTTCAGAGTAAAAGCCAAAGTTTGCCTTATGGCTACTATTCCCCCTCCTCCCTATCCTATTCCAGCTGCACTGGACTTTTGCTCCAATACACGAGCCCCATTCCTGCCTCAGGGCCTTTACATTTGTTCCTCTTGCCCCTTCACTTCCTTCAGGAATTAACTCAAAAGTCACCTTCTCGCAATTCTGACATATACTACAACATGGATGAAACTTACAGGCATTATGCTAAGTGAAATAGGCCAGTCACACACACACACACACACACACACACTGCACGATTTCACTTACATGAGGTACCTAGAGTAGTCAAAATCATAACAGAGACAGAAAATAGAACAGTGGTTGCCAGGGGCGGGGGGAGGGGAGAGTGGCGAGCTATCTAAAGGGTACAGTGTCAGCTGTGGAGGAAGGGTTCAGCATATGGATGAAGTGATGGTTGCGCGACATGAATGTACTTAATACCACTGAACCGTACCTTAAAAATGTAACGTGGTGAATATTATGTGTGTTTTACCACACACACACACACACACACACA